GACTGCTAGGCGTAAACTTATCGTAGGAAATTAGGAACCGCACGTGCTACTCGGCAAAAAGTTAATATCTTTACGTCAGTACATTTATCATGTTAATTTGACAAAAGAATCCTCTCTGTCGCCCAAAGAACATCTGAGCGTGATATAAAACCAGATGCTAATAGATTGAAATCTTTTCATTGTCCATTTGTATATATTTTTTTCTTTCTTTTTCTATTAATAGTACTAATTTTAATATAGTGCGGCCTTTTTCTTTTTTCTGAATGACGTCTATTAAAAGATTGTCTGGAATAGATTGGCTAGCGATAAGATCGCCTTTTGTATCATTTACTGTAGTCCTATTTTATCTTGTAAATTATTTATTGTAATCCTATTTTTTTTTTTTGCATTTTGTAGAACAAAGTTTATTTCACAAGATTAAAATAATAAGGATTTTTTTAGTAAACTAATAAATAATTGTAAAATTTTGAAATGGGTAAAAGCTAGTAAACTATAAATTAAACTATGCATATTAGTTAACATTACACCCTTCACGTATAATTCGTATTATACATACTTGTTGTATAAACGAATTGAATCTGATTATGTTTCGTGTAAAACAGAGAAAGGTTTTAAAGGAATAATTACGCCTTTGTCGGCGTTTAATGGAAATTATATTTTATTGCGTTAATATTATTTCAACAAAAATATTAAGATATCTAGTATAAATACTTTATGACGTTGTATTCACTTTTATCAAAACATTCATTACAAATATGTTCTTGGATATCTTCGTATGTATTTTAATTCTAATATTGACATACATTAAATACACAGGTCGTGAAGCTTATCATTAGCTAAATATTAAAAGATTTGGATGTAATAAGGGTCTTTGCGTGGAAACTTAATTTGAATTTTAACAACATCTACGTAGGCACGTAGAAAACATGTAGTAAAGTTTAAATATTAATCCATTTGGTGCGTTCGTTCCACCAATAGTTACCACTGACTTGGAAGGAAATTACTACTTTACGGAGATGAATAAACCTATTATTCGTGGTTCGTGTTTGTTCGATTCGGATAGAATAAATAAACGAGACAAGATACACAACGTGAGATGTTGTTATATATAAAAATAGAATATTCTATTCGTCCAAACAATAGTGTTTTTGTTTTGGCTTTATTATTAGGAGAATCAAAGTGTTCTACGACGATTTTGTCACTAGAGAACTTTGTATCGAGACGTTATATGAAAGTGTTAAAAAATTTACTATAAAAGTAAATTTACTATTTAAAAAATTTAATATATATATATATATATATATATATATATATATAATAAAAATACATGTATTAATTTATATATGTAACTATAATAAATTTAAATAAGTTAAAAGTGGATATACTGCACTGGCTTAATAAATACTATGTTAATCACAATAACAAGATTTGTAGTACGTATTCAATAATTTGAAGTTGTCACAATAAGCTTCGATAAATCTGGTTGATTTATTAAGACTTATTTTTTATCATTTACTTTTATTTTATAATTTACTTACCTACTTATGCTATAGGCTCCTTCCTTTACATTTGCAAAGATAGCTTTCAGCGATAGGACTGCCCATTGTGCTTATGTTACATTATTTTATAATTAATGCCATTGCTTACACATTATTGAGAGTTAACAATAAAGAGTTACATACCCATCAAAATTGTTTAGGGATTAAGTATATTTTTAACTAATAAAATGAATCAATTAATATTTACCAAATCTAGTCTTCCAGACTGCTTCTTAATTCCTATGTTTAAGGATCAACCTATCCCTATATTTCTTACAAATTAATAAAAATTGCAATTTTTATAAATCGTGGGAAAGTAATCTAAATTAGTGACGTCAGTTAAATGGCAAAAAAAGGGAAAAACAAGGATTTTATGAATTTATAATTTAAGAAATTCTTTATTCAAATTGTGAAATTTACTAATAATAATTAATAACGACCCGAAAAAGTTAAAATAATAATCATCAATTGTGGCGATACTCTAAAATGTACTTGATTCCTAGACACTATTGATATGTGTATTTATTGTTGTCTATGACTTGTAATTGATTTCAAGATGATTATTATTATTCCGTTGCTAGTCCAAATATTCAGTTTAAAACATATCTAATCTTATTTATTATTGTTATTATCTGAAACTTTGATTAATCAAAGTTTCTGATAAAGTATGTTGGGCAATGTACCTACTATCTAATCATAATTAGCAATATACAAGTAATTCATTATGTATCATCATTATTATCACATTCATATTATCTTTATTTATAGTAAATAGATAGATGGATATATTTATTTAACAATTCTGCAATGGTGAGTCAAGTTTTTTCATAATTCTATGGTGGCAAACCTTATTACACTTTTTTCGAAGAACCCTAGGGAAACCCAATTATTTCCTCTCTGAGGTTTCGGATTCAAGTCCTATATTTATTAATATAGGAAATATTCTTTTTACACTCTTAAATTAAATTTTGTTATGGCTTTCAGGAATGCGTATACGTATATTTAAAATTTATGCCATTTGTATTTGTTTGGGTGCTTAACTATTTGCGTTGTTGTATTTAAAGAAAAAGTTGTCATTCCATTTTCATCTGTTAAAAACACTCCATAGATGCTAATGATCCATATAAGGTCTAAGGTGTTATACCCTCATACTTGATAATTTCATTGCGATATTCCATCTTTTAAACCGATATAGTCATAGGATATACACAGGATAGTGAATAACAAAACGCATACCATACTTGCCATGTTTAACCGGTCGTCGACCGTCAATAAACAGACAGTAATTGTCAGTATCTACTGCGATACAGATTTCTAAAGTTACGTTACGAAATTTTGTCCTTACCAATGAAAGTAGGCCGGAGATCAGAATCAATAAACTACTAAAGGCAGTAGTGGCAACTGCACGCCTTCTACTACAGTGAGTGTATCAACAGCTTATGATATTTGTATTACCAATTTAAAATAATACTTGTTTTGTAGTAGTATGTATAAAGTTAAAAAAATTATACTCGAATGGGGATTAGCAGATCACTCAAGTTTATGGTATAGCCATTAATCGTTGCGGATACAAAGGTATTCCCCCTACATTTAAAGAACATTTTATATCAATGAAAGTATGGAATTGACATATGATTGACACAAGCTGTTATAGCTAATTTAACTTAAAACACAATATTATGAAAGAGTTGAAAATTGACAAAATATAAATTATTAAAAATTGCATGAATCATGAATTCAATACTTGTATCATTTTTAGTTATTATTAATAATATAAGTAAAATAAATTTGGGATTGTAGTGTCTGTTTATTAATTGAAAGATGACATTATTTTTATATAATTAAATAACTAAAAAGAATTATAAAAAATAATTTGGAATTGGCAAAGATATCGTATAAGGAATAAAACAATAATAAACAATTAAATGCAAATTGAAAACGTTATGCTTTTAAATATACAAACCAATATCAAAGTTAATATATGTAAAGTTTAGCTTATGGAATATGGATTGTCAGGAGACTTCTACGCATTGATATTATATTACCGAAGACCGGCAAGAGGCCAAATTACTCAACTTCCAAATTCAATTGATACCCTACATCATTGATATCTACCACAGTTTGAGTTTTGCCAAAAAGTGCGGCATTTTAAAGCCCAATTTGTAGTTTATTTTGTACTTTAATTTTTCATAGACATACGTAATCAATTGTATTAAAAAATTTTCAGCAGTATTATCTTTTTACGTTGTTTCTATGAAAGGTAAATTTTCATTCAAATGTTAGTTTAATATTTTTAGAAGTCTGCTATTTTTTTTTTATAAATAACCTTTTTGTTAAAATTTGTTACTTACACATTTTACAGAAATTTGAATAAGCAACCCTGATATACGGAGAGATATACAGACAGACGTAAGCTCTTTTTATTTATGTAAATAACTTTATTTACCAAAAGAATCTATGATACAAAAGGCGGACTTAATGCTAGTATCATTCTCTACCCAGTCAACCTTTGGGATGAAGAGTGAATCAAGAACGTGGTACTTCATTACATTAAGTCGAAATTAAGACGAAATAATAAAGTACCCAGTATGTTTTACTATTTAGTAACGGAATTGTAAAAAATACACTAAGGGTTTAATTTCATCAAAATAACTCTGTTACTAAAAAGAGAAATTATATTGGTAAAGACCCTGTTATATGTTATTTAAGATTCTGAAAATATAAAACAAGATTCCGCTCAGATATTATATTCGAATGTTTCATTTTATAGTGAATACTGCAAAGAAAAATACTGCATTCTGCGATAAACGGAAAAAATATATATTCGGTATTTATTACTAAAATTATATATGACTATAAATATCTTACTTATTTTCGTATAAAAGATGTTATAAGAAGAGATTACTTGAATGAAACTTTTAAAACATCGGCTTAAAAGAAAGAAAATACGGAAACCGTTGACCATCTGACAGGGCGTATGTTTATTTGTCGCATTTTTGATCTTATAAAAATATTTGTTTTGTATTGTATTTGTGTTGTAAATGTTTACATTATTCTAGTTGCGGATTTAAAGGAAAGGTCGTTTTTTCTTTCTTTACATTTGTTTATATGTAATGAAAATTGTAAATGTATTTGTTTAATTGGATCTCCTATTGTAGCCGTAATTCAGTGCATTCAATGTATTTTTACGTTCTTCTTATTACAATCCAATGCTAGATTTGATCATTCTAAATCGAGTATTATATTAATATAATATGGTAATTAAGAACTCAGTATTAGGAATAAATTAATATTTGTGAAATGTCGCTTGTACAAAAGAACAAAGTTTTACCGTGGGTGGGTATATGGTTTTCCTTATATTTTATAACAATATAAACATTCCTTTTAGCATGTAATTAATTCTATTATTAGAAATATAATAAAGAAAGTGGTCTCTACTAGGGTTTGTAATTGTCTCCAAAGGTTCACTGCCATCCATTCCGTTGTGATCGGAACGCGACGCGGCTAACCGGACGCAGCCGGCGGCGGCGTCCTGCATACTCGAACCACTATGTAGATGGAACAGCATTACTAGGTGTAGCTATGGTTATGTATGTTGTTTGTGTCCAAGCGCACAGTGCAACGCGCGGCCCTGACGCGCCCGCGACCGATGCGCACCGATGTAAACACCAAGGAAGGTCAACCGCCTTGCATTCAACGCATCCTACTACTCTGAAGCTTTTTGAAGTCGTCGGATAACTACACTTATGTATGCTTTCAAAATAATAAAAGTTCTATCATATCATATAAATGTCTTAACTTACCGTATCATTATTACTAATATTAGGCATTAATGCAAGATTATTACTTCTGTGCCTTAATAGCTTAAACAATCGTCTTGTTTATCCTATATATATAAGAATTCCGAGCTTTCGTATGTTATGTACGCTTGTGTATTAGGTATGTATTATATTTCTTTATGTAACATTCTGTAATATAAAGAATATATATTCTAGTATTATTTCGATCTATTACATACTGTATCACAGAACCACTTTTCCTAAGCAGGATGTTTTAAAACTACGAGTAGATATCTATATATGTGTAAATAAATATGATTATTGATTAATGCTGAAATGGCTGAATCTAATAAAATTAGTATAAAACAACTTAGATTTAATATTGACTAAAATTTATTCTTTTGGGTGTACTGACGGAGTAAGAATAGGAAGTTTCCAATACATGGGATATTCATGAATGTTGTAAGATTTTTGGATTGATCAATTTTTAATATTTCATATAATAAATATAGTTTATTTTCATGGTTACTATTACGTAATTTTGCTTTTCGTTATACCCATCAAAACTAATCCCATGTAAATTTCAGTTAAGTGCACAAAATACTTCACTGAATTGTTAATAGACAAAATAATACAATTGTTATTAAAAAAAAAAAAACAAAAAAATATCAGATTAATTTATTGTTTTTGTAAAGACATATGTTCTTTAATTAAAACAAAAAAAAAAAAAAAACAAAAAAATATCAGCTTAATTTATTGTTTTTGTAAAGACATATGTTCGTTAATTTTGTTATCAATAGGTAACAGGTGTTAGTACATTTGCATTAATGTTATTAATAAAGATTAAATAACAACAGTAATATTATTTTATACAAATTATGTTGTTAAAATACAAATTATTCTTGTTCTTTGATCACGGTCACTCTGTATTTTCATATTTGCCTCAGGAATTCATAATAATTGTAAGGTTTCACCTAATTGTTTCTTGCGGCTAGAATTGGGACAGGTATACAAACTCGATTATATTTAAATTTACTGAACTGGTTTTGAAATGTATTTTTCATATTTGTAAACATGTATTAGAATTTATTATCTATAAAATATTAATTTGTTTAGAATTCTTTGTTGTTAAAAAGATTTTTTTTTCAAAGAAATTCTTCAAAATATTCCATTGTTAAATTATACAAATTGATATGAATATAGGTGACACATTTTTACTTGTTGTTGCTGTTAAATTTCGTTCTTTCTACACTCGTACAATACTTAAGTATGAATGAAGTATTGATATTATGAAACAATTTTGTTTATCTGGGTTATCAAATTATACAGCTGTAGAATTAATATAAAGGCTTAAAGGGGTGTAGTAATTCAAAATCCATTGGTAGTATTTGATAGTTAACAGGTTTTCACAAGAAATATAAGCAAAAAAATGCTAATAATATAAATAGGAAAAAATTTAAAGGTTTATTCTAAATTCATTTTACTATTATCTTAATTTTAGTGGGCAAAGCCACGGGTTATGTCTGATATGAAAGTAATTCTTAATTTTCATATTACCGAACGATTTTCAGAGTGGTTCTTTATGCACAATACAAGTGAAGCCGCAAAACTATATTCTACCCAATACACTTAGTCTCTTATTCATTTCCACGAAAACCATGCTCAATAACTATTTCAATAAAAAATTTTTTATTGTCTGAGATAATAATGCTCGACGTAATGTAAACAACCTGGAGAATGATATCGCTGACTGTCCCATCTGGGATTCCTGTTGTGAGTGTATTTTATTTACAAAATAATATAATTTATATTATGTGTAATTTGAATATGATCCTCTGAAACGTATCGAATCGTGTATATTAATACACGATTCAGTATATCATGTAACATAATAATATTTTGTTCGATTTTAATACAGATGTACAGTCAGCATTAAAAGGTGAAGTACACGATTAATTTTCAATATTTCTGTACTTTTCCGCGAGTATATACCACAAACTACTGATCAAAGTATTCTACAAAACTATTAATTATGACTGAACTACAAAAGTTTTTGGATTCATTTATGTCTTAAATTTCTAAACATCATTTATGATAAAACTAATGCTCAAAAATAAAGATAAAAAATCTCTTTGAATATATCGTACTTCCAGAATTTTATAAAACTACTAATAAATTATGTTATTATATAATAACACTATTAATAAATTATGATTAATATTATATATTTTCTTTGTTTAGTGTATAAGTTTATACTCAGTCAGTCAGTTGTTGGTTATTAATCAGTTGAAATATACGTCACTAATAACCTCGTCATAATCAGTTAATTCTACAACAGTAGTGACTCCAATGTGATTGGAAACGGATCAATGACGAGTAGAGAACAGAAGAGATTTCAAACCAACAATTTGCATATTCCCATCGGCTTTCACAAACGGGTCTCGAAGGTTAGGAAATTCAAGAGGCACCTCGATCTTTGGTTATTTAATAAGGCAATGCAAACTTCTACAACTAATTAATGACTTCTTCTGCTTGCATCCGTGAGAGGAACAGGCATGAAAATTCTCCAAAGAAGTCATTTGTTTGATGCACAGATGTGGCGTCAATAATTATCACTGAAGGATGGGTCTGCACCGACTTACTGCATCTATGGTTTATATAATTTGAAACCATAATTGTTCCGCAAAACAAGGTGATGACTACAAAATTAACGCCGTTATATTAAAACTACCCAATGAGGTTAAATACCAAGTTAGTAAAATACTAAATCAACCTCCAACAAAATAAGTATCTCAAGTTAAAGAAAGGCTGATGAATGGTTATGGAGAGAGTGAATAGCGGCGTTTTTATAAATTGCTCTCTAACATGAAATTGGGAGATCATCTCAACTATTGAAGATGATAAGAGAAGAGGCGAGAAAATTATATATACGTTCATTGTGGTTCAGACAGCTTCTTCAGTCAGTGATCGCATTCATATTAATATAAGTGCAGCCAGATATCTAACTAACAGCTCCATTGCTAGCAATATACCCTATCAGATCAACCTCCACGTGGTTGCCGCTGGAATCCATCGTAGTTAATTCTTGTGGAATTCATCACGTTGGGCTAACTGACCTGCTGTCATCCTCATCTATTTACTAATGCCCCGTCAGCATATACATACCTATAGCGCAGGCAGGGTTACCTATCTATTCTCACCCATAAAAAAAACATTGGGTTTACGACGTTCTTTTACTTAGACATTCAACGTTACCGACGTCAAGATGACAATTTTAGGAGCTGTATTTCGAGAGCTCAAATCGCTTGCAATTTTAATCAAAACAAATGTTGCGTCAATTTGTTCCACCGATTCCGTAGTATCGGAACCGTAAAGCATCTTTTGGAAAAATATGAGAAAATTGTGAGTCCTACGTCAATGAGGTTCCCTGTTAAACATGTACTTTGTGTTACACTATACACATATATTTTCACGTTTAGTGTGTACATTATATTTTCACAAAAAAAAAAATCAGAATTCGCTTAAGTTTGCTCACCTCTTCATGACAAATGCAAAACAGCCAAAAAAGAATTCGATGATACGATAGAGATGGTATTTGCAGGCACTAGTAGTCGATTGGCCAGTCCACTGCATAAGGTGAAGAAAAAAAATAATGAATAGAGTCTGTATCCCGTACCTTGCGATAATTATTGCGCATTAAATAATAGCACTGTATAGACAGATATTCATTACCAAAACTATAGGATTTTTTTTATATATCGCAAAGAGAAAAACTATATTTAGCTAAATTCATATCAGGAAGGCGATACCTTTGGCGAAATTTGTGGAAATCGCAATAATAACACCGTTTCATCTTTTTGGATTTACAGCAATGCTATTTGGTTTACGTTACGTAGATCACACATTTTAGACATTTATGAATTTAATATTTAGAGTTTTGGACTTTGTTTTTATAGTATCTTTGTTAATGGCATTTTAAATACGAGTAAAAACCAAAAAGAACATCTTGAAAATCCATAACTGCTACAACAATTTAGAAAAAAATCTACAATTACCATAACTTGACTTTGGTAAAAAAACAACAAGAAAATCAATCGGAAGAAATTATATTTGCTAGAACATGAATACGGATATAAACAGGTGGTGTGAATCACACTTACAATGTCAACAATTGAAAGTGCATAGACACACAACTTCACTGCTTGGAAAATATTTGCTAGCGAAGCGTTTTGTACATGTAAATATTGTTATGGTAGGACCATTACTTACGTCATAATATATGCGCTTTTTAATTGCTCTATTCCACTGCTGCTTGGAAGCTTTTACAGTACTGATATCACTGTAGAGATTGTTGTTAAAGTGGTTTATGAAGTATGGAGATGTCGTATTGGATATGCCACTACTGATCAAGGACGACAATTTGAGTCTGAAGTCATCAGAGGACTCGCAAAATTAATGAGAATAGAAAAAAAAAAAATATGCCAAACTTTACCATCCTCAATGGAATGCCAAGGTTGAAAGATTACAAATAACTATGTAAACAACATTGATTGCTAGGGATAACATAACAAATCAGACAAAAGAGTTACCACCAGTTCTTTTCAGACTACGTTTTAGTTACCGACAAGATACTGGATGCTGTAGTTGAAGAACTCGTTTATGTATGATTATTCTGATTTTGTACAATAGATGATAATATTAGTAGAGTAACAGTCATTCCTTAAAAAGAGAGTTCAATTTGAAACTCTCATCTCGGATTGAAATGAGAAAAATTATGTCCTAGCTTAACATCTAGAAGGACCATATCTGGTTGGCAAACGTAACGAGAAAGTTTATATACAATCAGACATGTTAATAAGGGAGTAAACGTGTCAATAGATTGACCGAAACCAGCATTTGTGTTCATCGACGAAGAAATTATATATGAGGCGGAACTACAATGCCACTCGTCAGCGTACGATAGCCGACCTCAAAAAGTCATACTGTCAGGCGGCGTATCTCGTTCTACTGTGCGTTTTCAAGTGTAAATAGAATTCGAAAATTTTGTGTATTTTTCATTATTAGTTAATGTGTGTGTGTGTGTGTTAATGTTTATGTGTTTTTTTTTAAAGAGGATGTATATATGAAGTATCCAATATTTATGTTAGTACGTACAGTGAAGTAAGATTATTAAAATATTTGTTAATTGTTAATTTAGCACTGCACGTACTGGAACAACGTATTGCCCGATCATTTTTTTATATTTTCTTTGTTAGTATTTAAGTTCATATTTATCTTTTATTATAATAATTTTCAGTTGTTATTCAGTTGAAATATACGCCACTACCAATCTCGTCGGATCAATTCATTTTGCAGCAATGATTTAGCCTTAAAATTTTAAATCATCAATATTTTATTTTTCTTTATTTTTGAAATACAATAATCAGGCACGATAAGATATAAAGAATATATTATTAGTAATTTCTTTCACTGCAATATTAATATTTTTAATAATTCTTGGTAAATAAATAATTAAAATAAATTTGATGTGATGATTAAAAGTTTATTTTAAATTTGTATGTAAAGGGGTGTTTTTTTATACTCGATTAATACAAAATACATGTGTTAGAACAATACAATAAGG